GCACACTGATCCCATCCCACAAGAGAATTCAGGTTCTTATCTCTGCCTGTCAATCCTCCTCTACCTCTGCCTCGTCCTCTCACATTAGTCCCTCCATCAGTTTCTACTTGTCCCAAAGCAGCCACTGTAGCCGTGCCTACAGCACAACTCAGCTCTTTCTTCTCTACATGTTTCCGACTCTCCACATTTCTTTAACATTCCCAAGTCCTTCTGCTCCCAATATCACATCTCTCCACCTTAGCTTTATGGTTTTCCCTTTCCTTTTCCAAAGCCAAAATTAGGGATCTGGCAGAGCTATATTAATTTCACATTCTGTCTGCCACTCCGGGTGGTTTCTTAAAGTGAAAAACCTATCTGCATACATCACTTCATCCCATTTTCCCTGCCGCCTCAAAAACAACATTAATTGTAACAATGTATTATAATTAAGAGTTCCATTTTTAGGCCATTTCTCCTGATCTTCCAAAGTATATAAAGGCCACCATTGGTTACAATATTTTATCAATGTTTTCTTGTTTACTGAGCCCCCAGGAAACCCTCTCAGTTCTTTCCAATGTGCCAAAACGCACCCTAAAGGACTGTTTTTCAAGATCTCTCCACTCTGCCGATTTCCCATCATTAATCTTGCATTCACACACATACACACACAGGATCCCACAGACATACTCCACAGTTACAACACTTGAAACAGAGACAACAATTAATAACGCAGTTATAACAACTTGTCACCAGTACCAAAATCACAAGACCAAAATCATAACTATAACAACCCACAACATAAGTCAGATACCAGTAAAAATCCAAAACCTTTTCTACAAGACACCCACTGCGTCTTGCAGGAGCCAAACCACAAGATGCCCCCTGCTTCTTGTGGGTTTATACCAAACAGACGCTAGCAGCCGGGTATACACGTTTACCCACGAGATAATACCTTTCACGAGATGGTCCTTGTCTGCTCCTGCAGGGATCCGAATGAGTGAAGGGGTCCCTCCAGGAAAACAACAAGAACTCCCGAGGGCGCTAGGGGAGCCCTGTCCTCAGCGGGTCCTGCAGCCGAGCAGAGAGGGTCCCACCTGGGGTGCCAAATTGATTCGGGGAAAACTCCAGGAACTCGTCAACAAAGTTTTAAGTTGACAAGCAGGTATTCTTTATTGCGGCTCCGGGAGACATGGGCATGCATACAACAATGTGGTGGTCTTTAAGGGTCGTTTACTTTCCCAACAAGCTTAATTAACATTACAGACATAGCAACCATCCTGCACTTTTACTTATCTATTAGTTTAACTGCTGTCATCCTGGACATCAGCTAGTCTGGGATACTCCCTAGTAGATGTTTACACCAGCTTAACGGCTTTGTTAACACCAAACATAGCAATTATCCTGTATTTTTATTTTACTCCTGGTGCGACTGAAGGGAGGGGAGGATGGGGGAGCCGATGGAGAAGGATCGGGTGCTATGGGTGGGTAAATGCCTTCCCGATCACCTCTCGAGTCCCGCCCTTGATAAGGGGGTGGTAAATTATCTAAAGGCTCCCATGATGATTTATTTGGTTTATTCACCTTCCCTTTCTTTTCTTTTAAGGGAAATAACGAAACTGTTATAGATGACCCTTTCCATATTGCAGCATAATCACTCTCCTCTTGATTGAAAGGTTCCTTACCATTTACATATAGATTTAAAGCCTGACAAATCCATCATCAAAATACCCGAATATTGGCCAATATTTCCTCTTTGATCCACACTTCCATACAGTAATGGACCATTTATTTATTTATTTATTTATTCCCCCTCCTGGGATGGCCAAAAGCCCCAGTACTTAAGTGTTAACCCCAAGGGACTGTCTGGGGGTGTATCTGGTAATTAGCTCCCTGTCTTATTCCTGGGACCTCTCCTTAAAAGAGGTCCACGCTTGCTTCACAGATCCCGATGCCCTGCCCCGTATTTCCACAGGTCCAGGATACCCAGTCCGTGTCTCAATGGTGCACAAACACAAATCACCAAGCACTCCTTCTCTGCACCGGCCAATTCCCTCAGGGGAGATTGGAACCGCGGTTAGAGGAGAACATCACAGTCACACTCACACACCGGCCCTCCCACCCAACCGAACGGTACTCACAGTCCGTTAATGTTTTATTACAAGTGATTAATACCGAGAGGCAGTAAGCAAGCAGCGCTGGGTGCGCCGGGGAGTCTCCGCTCCACCCAAGACGCACACCGAGAGTTCTGGGGTACAGTCTCTTATACTCCTCGGCCTTGGGTTTCAACCAATCCTGTCGTCTCCTTCACCCGAATATCCACGTGGTTCTTTTTCATTGTTCTCCTCCTGTTGCTGAGGTCTTATCTTTGGGTGATGAAACTTCTTAAAAAGTCATTGAATTCCTTGGCAATACATTAACAGGGAATGTCTGTCACAAGCTTAACCACCATCTTAGCCCCCTCAATTCCATTTCTTATATAGTTACATATCGAATACACAAGTTTCACCTCATCCCCTAACAGAATGTATCCCTTGATTACCTAGCCCCCTTAAGGTTAAACAAAACACCCTCTGTAGTTAGCAAAGCGTTTGAGACATTCAAGTAGTTAAACAAAGTACCCCTTAAAGTAACAAAGACTTTGATTAGGAAGGATTATTCCTTTGTTCCTTCTTTTCTTTTCATCATTGTATTGACAGGAACTCCCATCTTAATCTGATCATTCCTATACATCCTACACATGATTTTCGATTCCTCCCAAAGTGCAATGATGACAAGGACTCCTAAGTTTCTGACACGAATCATTCCTATATACCTCACAGGATGAGGATGCAATGGGATGGGGATATAATGGCATGAGGATGGGATGGGGATGTGACAGATTGAGATGGGGATGGGATGAGGATGGGATGGGATGAGATGGGGAGGGGATGGGGACAGGATGGGGATGGAAAGGGATAGGACATGATGGAACTGGATGAGACAGATGGGATAGAATGGGACAGGATACTCTATAAGGTGGAACAGGATGGGACATGGCAAGACCGGACAGGACACAATCGAGTCGAAGGAAATAGGATGGGGATGGGATGGGATGAGGATGGGACAGAGATGGGGATGCAGTGGGACATGATGGAACTGGATGAGACATGGCACAGGTGGGCCAGGATGCAGTGGGGTGGATAAGGTGAAACAGGATGGGATACAGCAAGACTGGACAGGACACAACAAGGTGGAAAGAAATGTGATGGGACAGGCCAGGACGGGGTTGGGGTGGGATGGGACAGGCTCTGCGTGGGGACAGGAATGGTCCAGGAGCGAACAGACCGACCAGGACCGGGTGACACAAACGGGATGGGGTGGGATTGCACAGGACGGGATGGGGCAGAGGCGGACAAGCGGGGAGGCGCGGGAGCTGCACGGAGGCCGCGGTGGGGGTTGGGGGGGTACACACTGTTAACGATCGTCCGGTTTCCATGGCGACACCTCCCTCCGGCCGCCATTTCACAGGCCCGCGGGGCGCGAGGCCGCAGGGCGGGGCGGCGGGGCCGTGCCGCGGAGAGAAGTGGCCGCCAGGGGGCGCCCGCGCCAGCTCCGGCCATGGCGGCGCCCGACGGTGCGGGCCGGGCCCTCCCCCCTTCCCTACATGCGCGGTGTCCTGCCCCGGTCCCCGTGGCACCCGCAGTCCTCCCCCCCGTTCCCCAAGCGGAACGCTAGGGCCCTCGGCTCCCCTGGCGGCCCCGTCGCACCGATCTGTCCCCCGTTCCCCACGGTCTCTCCCATTGCCTTCTCACCCCCCACCCCGCAGTCAGATCTGTCCCCTGGGACTCCCCAGGAGCACCGCGTTACCCTAGGCCCCCCCCACCCCTCATATTCCTCTAGGCCCTTCCCAGTTACCCCTCACAGTCCCCAGCCCCCAGTTTCCCCAGCCGCTCCTCAATCCTCCCCAGTTCCCACTCCAGCCATCCTCAGATCTCCCCCAGTTCTCCCCCTTAGCCCAGTTATTCCAGGAACAGCCCCTGTGCCCCCAGTCCTGCCAGCCCAGTTATTCGTGGGGCCCCCTTTAACCCCAGTGCTTCCAGTTGCCACCAGTCCCTCCCCAGTTCTCCTCAGTCCCTGCCCAGTCACCTCAAGGCCCTCCCCAGTCCCCTCCCCGGCCTTCTCCAGGTCCCCCGGCACCTCCAGTCACATCAGTTCCCCTCCAGTCCCCCCCAGTTCACTTCCGTCATTCCCTAGTTCTCTGAGCACCTCCAGTCACCCAGTTCGTCCCGGGTTTCCCCCAGCCTTGCCCCAGTTGCCCCCAGTCCTTCCCCCGTTCTCCCAGCCCCTTCAGTTAACCCCAGTCTCTCTCCAGTCACACCCGATCTCACCTCAGCTCCTCCCCAGTCGCCTCCCATACTCCCCCACTTCTCCCAGCCCCACCAGTCACCCCAGTCCCTCTCCAGTCCTCACCAGTCTCGTCTCCATCCCCCGGCCCCCCGTGCAGCCTTCCCTGCGTCACCCCCGTTGTCGCACTCCCCCCCGTTCCTCTCGCAGCCGCGGCCCGGCTGGAGAACCCACAGACCCGATCCCGGGGCACCCCCCACGTCCCCCTGGCCCCTTCCCCGCGTCGCGGAGCCGATGACTGGGCCGGGCGGGCCGGACCAGTGCAGGCGGGGGGGGGCCCCGACGGTGCGCGGCTGCCCGCGCGCGGTGATGCCGTCGATGCGACAGGGGGCGCTGCGGTGGCAGCGGGCGCCCCGCTCCGCCCCGCCAGGCGCGGCCCCCGGCGCGGCCCGCGCGCGACGGCTGCGGCCTGCCCGCCCCCTGCCGGCTCGGCGGGGCAGCGGCGGGGCCGGAGCGCCCAGCGCGGAGCGGCGGAGCCGGGACGCGGAGCCGCTGCTCGGTCTCACGTCGCCGCCCCTTCGCCCCCTCCCCGACCTTCGCCCCCGCCTTCCCCGGTCGGGTCGGGCCGGGCCGCGCCCCGCCCCCGCCGCGCCGCCCCGCCGCGCCCCCGCCCCGCCACCGCCCCACCGCGCCGCGCCGCCCCGGGCCCAGCCCGATGCCCGGCGGCTGGCGGAGGTGAAGGAGCGAGCGGGTGCTGCAACCTCCCGGCCGCGGCCCCCGGGGCCCCGGGCAGGGAACAAAGGGCCATGGCCGAGGGGGCTCCCGTTCAGGTAAGGGCACCCGCCGCTCCCCGCCGTCTGCCCAGAGCGGGTCGCGGCCCGGCCCGGCGCCCCCGGGCCGCACGTCGGGGAGGGCCGCGCCGTCGGGGCCGCGGCGGGAGGCGGCAGGGCGGACGGGCGGCGGGGGCTGTTAGCGTGCGGCACCGCGGCCGCCCCCCCGGGGGGACGGGACGGGCAGGGCCGGCGGAGGCTGCGGCAGCCTGAGCAGCCCCGGGGGGGCGGTGCAACCGGGTCGGGCCGGGCCGGGCCTCCGCGGCCGGCGGCGCCAGAGCTGCCGTCGGGGGCCGGGCCTGCGCGTTCCGCTGCCTTCCCCAACCCCGGCGGCCGGGCCCTGCGGGTCGGGAGCAGCCTCCCTGTGACAGACCCGCCGTTCCCCGGTGATAGGCCGTCTCCCCCTCCCCCCCCCCTCGTGTCACTGCTCGGTCCCCATGGTGATAGGGTGCCCTTGCCCCGACAGCACCCGACAGCCCCCCCGGGGGTGTCCCTTCTCCGTGCCCATGGCAACGGGGCTCAGCTGTCCCCTGTCATCCCCTTCCCCCAGTGTCACCACCCGGCCCTGCGGTGTCGGGGCGCTCCCTCCTTCTCTCCCCGTGTCTGGTGCTGCCCATCCTGTGGGACCGACGTAAGCAGCTTATCAGGGTCAGCGCCCTGCGGGGACGCGGGCACTTCCCCACCGCCCTAGGCCCTGAAATGCGCCTCCCCCGGGGTCTCTGTCACCCTGAGGATGCCCCCCCCCCACCGTGACACCTGCACACCTCTTCCTGCAGGCGCCGGAGCCGGTGCAGCAGCCGTGCTATTCCTCACCCTTCCGGCCGGTGGCCGGGCACGAACGCACCTCGGAGCAGGAGACACAGACAGCTGAGGTGTCCTTGATGGTGGTGGCGGCAGTGCAGGCGGTGGAGAGGAAGGTGGACTCCCATTCCACCCGCCTGCTCGACCTGGAGGGTCGGACGGGGATGGCAGAGAAGAAACTGATTGACTGTGAGAAAACGGCGGCAGAACTGGGGAACCAGCTGGAGAGCAAGTGTGCGGCACTGGGCACCCTCATCCAGGAGTACGGGCTGCTCCAGCGGCGCCTGGAGAACATGGAGAACCTTCTGAAGAACAGGAATTTCTGGATCCTGCGGCTGCCCCCAGGCAGAAAGGGGGAAGTCCCCAAGGTAACGGTGTTCTCTGGCCGGACAGAGGGAAGAGGTGGTGGGTGAGCAGGGACAGCCCTGGCACATGTGAGTCACTCGCAGCAGAGCTGCTTGCTCTCAGCTTCCTGGCATCTCTCCCATGGGACCTGCCTGCAGTGGGAGATGGACCTGAAAGCAAGATCCCCTGTATTCAGGCTGGAGGTTTCAGTTCTTCACCACACTGCACAGCCCAGCAGCAATTCACTTCCCCCCCCCCCTTTCTTTTTTTACCAACATTTGAGAGAAACCCTGCAGATTTGGTGGCTCTTTTACTACCTTGGCGCTGCACTGGGGGCCTCCTGGGTCAGGAATGGAGCAAGCAGGAGCTGCTGCTGCAGGGAATGGGGACCTCTGGGATTCAGGGGAAGGCAAGTGAGCTTTCTGCATTTGCAGTTGGGCTTAGCTGAGCTTCAGAGGGAACCCACTATCAGTATTCAGTTCCCTGCATTTCATGGTCACCTCAGTAAAAGCAACTTTGCAGATGGGACCATGTTGAACATGGCAAAGGGGACATCACTGGAGAGAGTGGAGGGGCTACAGAAAAGGGGGGTTCAGCTCAAACACTCAGTCAGGGAGTTAAAGCCGAGTGCTGCATCTCCTTCTGAAGAGCTCCATTCAGACATGGTGCAGCTTGCACATCCCAGATTTATCCTTAGAAATTATTTCTTGGCACACAGATTTGAAAGCTGCAGTCTGCTCCTAGCCTATGTGCACACACTAACTCATGATAACTGGAGCCCTTCAGGCCCAGGTACAGCTTTCCTTTGAGTTCTGGGGTTTTACATCAGCTCATCAATAGAGATGAGATCCAGCTGTACCCCGTTTTTTATCTCCTTGACTGTCCCTCCAGGTGGGCACAAGCCCTATCACCTCTGCAGGTCATCCCCACTGGTGTGGGGACCAAGAGGAAGATGTTGGTGTCGGTGGTGGAAATCATGTTGTGGGTTCATGACCAGGACTGGCCATTTGACTGAGACCTTTGATCTCATAGAAATATCTCTCCAGGAGCTGTTTTAAATATAAAAACCAACTCATTGATGGCCATGAGGTAGCTGAATCCTGGCCATGTCCAAGCAGGAAGGAGCTACTGCTGCCACAGGCTGGAGATAGGTGTGGGGCTCCTGGGGAGCAAGGTGGCTGCTTGAACCTGTGCTGCTGTGATTGCAGGTGCCGGTGACGTTTGACGATGTGTCCGTCTATTTCAACAACAAGGAATGGGAGAAGCTGGAGGAGTGGCAGAAGGAGCTGTACAAGAATGTGATGAAAGGGAACTATGAGTCGCTCATCTCCCTGGGTAAATATGGGCTCTCCAGGGCTTCTGGCTGCCTGCAGGCTTGAGCACCTTCTGAGTCCTCCTTGGAGATCCCTTTGGATCCCCTTGAGACCCAAATACCCTGTTAAAAGGAGACCTAAAATCACAGGAGGAGGTTTCTGGCCTGGGTAAGGGCATCCCTCCGGCAATGTTCACTCCCAGCTCGGGGTACACTGTTGTCCCAGCTTGGTGGGGGGGTGCCCACAAAACAAAATGGGCTGGAGACGTCCCAAGGCTCCTTCCAGCCAGTGTTACTTGATGAAAACCCAGTACCTTCCCCATGGCTGTTGTAAGGGATTCCCTTTGCTTTTTGGGTCTGCAGTGGGTACCAGTCCATGCACCCCATCAGAGAAAACTTTTCCAGAGGGAAAAATTGTCTGAGGTGGTCTTAGCCCTGCTCTGTTGAGGTGTTTCCTGCTGAAGCTGCAGGAGAAATCCTGGCTCTGCTGCAGCCAGAATAGAAATGCTTTTGGCTTCAGGAGAGCCAGGAATTTACCTGAGAAGTTCTAAAAGCCCACCAGAAAAACACACAAGTTGGGTTTCTTCTCAAAGGGAGTTCCTCTGTGTGTGGCTCCTCAGCTTCTGCCTCCGTGACTCCCTTCTGCCCACAGCACCAGGCTCTCCTGTCTGCAGACCCTGTATGGACATTTCTGAGTGTCTTCCTGTGTCTGCCCCGGGAATGAGGAAAGGTGGAAGCCAATATTAGGATTTCCCTGTGCAGTAATCCCTCTCTTCATCCTTTTCTCAACAGACTATGCAATTTCCAAACCCGGTGTCTTGTCTCAGATTGAGCAAGGAGAGGAGTCGCGGGTCAGGAATGAGCCAGACTTGGAGGAGAGTGAGATCATTACTGATGCCACTGCAGGTGAGGCAGCAGCTTAGCACAAAGGGAGACGTAAGTTCAGAGGAGGTGCTCACCCCGAGGCTAAAGCAAGTGCTGCTGAGAGCTGTGCCTGCTTAGGAGTGGGAAAGATTTGGCTAATGGGTGGTTGGATGTGCAGGTACAGCTCAACATATAAACCAAGGCAGGTGGAGCCCAGACAGTTGGACACTAAGAGCCATCAGCAAGGGAAGCATCTGTATCCAGACCAGGTCCTCAGGGAGCAGGTGTGTTTGGCAGACCAGGCAGTTGGGTCCTGTTGGGTAAACCCATCCACCAAAAAAAGCCTCTGTGCCCTCTCTGACTGTGTGGATGCTGCTTGGGTTTATCCTGGGAGCACCCCACAGGCAGGGAAGCCTGCTCCATCCTGCGCATGGGTACTGGGGTGCTGAGGGGTTTCTCTGAGGGCAGGGAACCAGGGACCCCGAGTCCTGCAGTGACTCCTGCTCTAAGGGTGGTGGTGGTGGGGGGGTGATAAAGAGATAAGAAGAGATGGTGTCAGCTCCACTCACCCCAGGCTGCAAACATGGGGTTGCTCCAACCCCCTGCTGTGATCTTGGTCACAATGATCTTTAAGTTAGATCAAGGCCAACAGGAAAAGAAAAAACGGAGCTGCTAGCCAGCATGGCAGCCAGGGATGTAGGGTGGTGGAGGGGTGCTGAGCTGCAGGTGCTGAGTCCCCAGGCCAGGCAGAGCCAGTCCCCTCTGCCTGCAGAAGATCCCAAATGAGAGGCAGGAGCATGGCAGGGGTGGTTGAAGGGAGAGCAGCTGAAACCCCTCTGTGGGATCAGCAGGCAGAGCTGGTGGGGATTGTTGCAAGTGGTTTCTTTGTCCCGGCTCCCTGGAATGATGGTGGGTGGGAATCTCTCTTCGCTGCAGCTGGCATAAGGGTTGTGATCAAAACGGAGGAGCTCCTTCCTGAAGACAGCCCTGAAAACCCTGAGCTGCATGGGATGTCGGGGCAGTCGGAGGGGAGCTTCCAGAGTCCAGATGAGGAGGCAGCCTGCGAGAGTCCCTATGGCTCCGTCTCACCTCCGAGGGACCTCCCGGGAACCAGCCTGGGTGACTCGTCTGAATACGTGTCTGACTTCAATGAGATCCAGAGAGTCATCGTTCACCATGGGAGCTGCGCGGGTAAGATGCTCGGCTCGCGGCTTGGCATGGCATGGCGAGGGGGCAGGAGGCCCAGGAGGGGCTGTAGTGTGGTGGGGGAAGGTGAGGAATGGGTGAGATAGAAGAAGGGATAAATCCTCCCAGAACCAGCAACAGAAGGAAAGTTTCCGGCTGCAGCAACCTCAAGGCAGCTGTGGTATTAACTCAGGCTAGGAGGAAGAGGCAGCACACACATGGTGGACATCAGAGCGTTGTCTCTAAGGGCACCTGACCCACTCCAGAGCAGAGCAAGCACCTCTGAAGGTGGGAAAAGCCCTTGTTACACACAGAGACCAAGGGAAGACGTGTCTCAGGCAGCATTTTAATGAGCCCCAGTGAGCTCCCACTGCCAAAGCCGTACTGTTGCAGAGGGCAGGACACCAGCTGAGGACTCCTGCCCTGGTGTTAGTTGCACAGAGGAATGGTGTAAGCCACTCAGATGTTTACACACCAGAATCTGCTGGAGGAAAGTATGAGGTCCAGCATGTTGACCAGTATGGCGGTTACTTAGGAGAGGTCTGGAAGACAGAGAGGAGAGTGGCCAGAGGTCTGTGGTGTGGGAGCTGCTGGAAGAGGAGGGGAAGGCTGAGGTTATTTACTGGGGATATGAGAAGATAGCAGCAGGTGCTTCATGTGTAGAAGTCTGGTATGGGCCAGATCCTACAGACATGCTTTGTGGATGGAGATGGGAAAGCAGAGTGATGGGCTGTTGGGAGCAGCAGGTTCCCTGCCTTCTGGTGGCTTTGCAATGGTGTAACACAAACCAAGAAAGATAAAGTTGGGCTCTTGAGGTTCTCCTCCACTCTGTCTCGTGTATCCTGTGGTCTCCTCATGGTTTTCTGAAGGAAACCAGCCAAGCCACCAGTGCAGCTGAAGCTGATCCTCATCCAAGAGCCAGCACCTCTGCCAATGCTTGGGGCCCCCACTGGTGGGGTTGAGCGGGAGCTGCAGCAATGCTCTGACCATGGTGCAGGTGCCAGCTCGAGCAGTGACAGCCCCTGGGTCCACATAGGGGAGGCTCCTTGCTGCAAGGAGGAGGAGAGGAGAACCTGGGAATGTGGGTTTTCCCCACAGACCCCTCTGTTGGAGGGGAGAGCTTTGATACACTCTGCACCCATCAGCTGCCTCTTCTTGGGAAAGCATGGCTGCTCTTCCTAGAAAAGTACATAGGCCTGGCTCAAAGTCCAGTGCAGGGTGACATGGGAGGGATCCACCATGGGCCTTTCCTCGGGACATGCTGGCTGTGTGTCCTGCTGTGTGTGTCCCCACAGCCAGCCTCACCAAACGGAAACAGCCGGGTCACCTCTGGCTGGCAGTGGTGACACAAGGGGGGAGCCTGAGCTGTAGCTATCCATTGCATCACTAGTTGTCTTGGGGAAGGAGGGGGTCTTTCCCAGTGCCCTGTCCCGGTGAAGCTGAAAGAGGTTGACAGTCCCGGGCTGCGTTAATGGATTCAGGAGTGGAGCTGGAGGCCAGCAGCCCTGTGTGGTGGTTCTGTGGAGCAGTGCCATGCAGGTGTGGTGGTGGAGCCCAGAAAAATGGTAGCAGATGTAGCTGCTCCAAAACCACTTGGCCACCTGATTCCTTGCAAATCGGTGGTGCTTTTACCCCCTCTGTCTTGTAGCATCATGAAATTGCAAAGCCTTTTGGCAGACAGGGCTCACCGCACCCTCTGAAGGAGCCTGTCTGGGAGGCGGGTTTTCTGTCTTCCCTGTTGCAGGGTGTGCAGACTTGCCTTGCTACTGCAGGAGGACATGGCTTGTCCCAAAGCTGGAGGCTTTTCATGTCCGGGTGGTTGGGCAGAATGGACAGTTGCACGTGTTTGAATAAGATGTTTGATGGGCTGCGAAGAAGCCCATGCAGATGTTTCTGTAGTAGCCCCCAGGTGCATAAAAGGCCACCCATCCCACCCAATGACCCTAACACTGTTCTGGTTTCCCCCCTCAGAGGATGGGATCGTGATCAAGACGGAGGAAGAAGAAGAGGAGGAGGAGGACCCTGACGCTCTGGAGCCGTGTGACATGTTCTCAGGCAGGAGCGAGCCGCCGGCGTTCCCCAGCCACGAGGCCGGGCTGGGCTGTGAGGCACAGTGCAGTTCCAAAACACAGCCCAGGAGCCTGGTGGCCACCCGCGTGAGGAAACCACCAGCGTGCGAGAGGGACTCTGGAGACATGAAGCCAACCGCAGCCCAGCAGCGGAACCGCACGAGGGAGAGACCCTACATCTGCCCCGAGTGCGGGAAGAGTTTCATGCTCAAGATCAACTTCATGATCCACCAGCGCAACCACCTCAAGGAAGGGCCCTATGAGTGCCACGAGTGCGACCTCAGCTTCCGCAACAAACAGCAGTTCCTGCTGCACCAGCGCAGCCACACGCGCCGGGGTGTGGAGGTCCCCCGGCGCCCTGAGCATGGTCTCAAGCCCCAGCCACGGGCCCAACCTCCGGGGAAGCCCTACAAGTGCTCCGAGTGCGAGAGCAGCTTCAGCCACAAGTCGAGCCTCAGCAAACACCAGATCACACACGTCGGGGAGCGGCCTTTCACCTGCGGCGAGTGCCGGCGGAGCTTCCGCTTGCAGATCAGCCTCATCATGCACCAGAGGATCCACGCCGGCAAGAACGAGATGGCCTTCCTCTGTCCCCAGTGCGGGAAGAATTTCACCCGGCCCTCCCACCTCCTGCGGCACCAGCGGACTCACACCGGCGAGCGGCCCTACCAGTGCAGCCAGTGTGAGAAGACCTTCAGCGAGAAGTCCAAGCTCACCAACCATTACCGCATCCACACCCGGGAGCGCCCGCACGCCTGCGCCGTCTGCGGGAAGGGCTTCATCCGCAAGCACCACCTCCTGGAGCACCAACGCATCCACACGGGCGAGCGGCCCTACCACTGCACCGAGTGCGGCAAGAACTTCACCCAGAAGCATCACCTCCTGGAGCACCAGCGAGCGCACACCGGCGAGCGGCCCTACCCCTGCACCGAGTGCACCAAGTGCTTCCGCTACAAGCAGTCTCTCAAATACCACCTGAGGACGCACATGGGAGAGTGAGGGGCTGCTGACGGCTTCCTCTCCCTCCCTTTCTTCCCTCCCTGCCTACATCCCTCCCTCCAGCCTTCCCCTTCCTTCTCCACTCATCTCTCCCTCCTTCCCTCCATCTTCCTTCCCCCAGCTCAGGGCATGGACATCAAGGAAGCTTTGTGTGGCAGCGCCGCTGCTCTGGTGGAGACAGCTAGGCTGATTGGAAATAAATTAATTAATTAAAGCAAGCGATGTGCGGCAAAGTGAGAAGATTAAATGTGTGTATACAGTTCACAGCAGCAGTTGGTTTAGGGGGAATCCTCACCATCAGAAACAAAACCACAAAGGCAAGCAAACCACCAACAAAAAGAAACCTGTACAGGGTGTTTTGCCGGAGTAGGACTCTTTAACTGCTTTTTAAATCTACTGTTTGGTTTTCTAATAAATGTGGAGGAACTGTTGGGGTTTTTTTGATAAGGAAACGTAGGATGGCCAAGAGGATTTTTTGGTTTTCCTTTTTTTTTGTTGTTGTTGTTTTTTTTCAATGCTCTGTAGGCTAATTCTGGCACAGTCACTTTTTTTGTCCAGGAGATCTGCAGAGACGCTGCCTCGTCCCAGCTTTCCAGGCTGGACGTGACAGCCGCTCAGCAGCGCGTGGAGACAAGGAGCTCCCAGCCCGGGGAAGGTGAGTAATAAATAGATCCAAATGATGAGGAAGTTCTCCGTGTGTCTAGATTGGAAGCACTGATTGGTGCCTGCCCAGCTCTTGAGGCTGTGATGCACTCCTGAGTTATACAGTAGAATAAAATACTAGTTGCAGTAAAAGAACCTTTTTCTGGTAGGACCCCATCAAGCCAGGCTCCTCTGAACACTCCTTTGTAGCACTTAATCCTTCCACAGCAGCAGATGTCTCTTTGATGAGCAGTGATCCAGGTGCCCATCCTGCTGCTGCCATGGGAGCTGCGCCAAAGGCATCTCGATGCTGAAGCTGTGGGTCTTGCCGTGGGGTGCTGTAGGGTCACAATGTACCCGGGCACGAGACCGTGACCTGTTTAACCTCTCTTCTGCTCTCTTTGACATACGCTGTGGCAAGCAGGCCGCCCTTGCCCATGCCAGTGGCATCGTCCACACAATCCTCAGTGGCAGGAGCAGTGGGACGAGGGACAAGTCCCATGCTGGCTTCAAGAAAAGCCATGGCCAGCTTGGGGCTGCCTGTGGGAGACCTCCCAGCTCCCAAGCACTTGCTGCCAGGGTCCCTTGCCATGCAGCTGTGGCTGTAGTCACAGTGGCAGGGACATGGGTCAGCTTCCTGGCTGTTGGTTTGAGTGCCTGTCTCCAGCAGCTCAGCTCTCCATGGTCCTGGTTTCTCCTCATCACAGCTCCTGTAGCTGGGTGAGATGCACCCCAAGGGCAGGGCCATGGCTGAGGCAGTGACACCAGCTTCCTGGTGCACACTGGGCTCTTGGCCAGCGGGTGCTGTGGGGAGAGCGGTGTCAGATCTCATGTTGGACAGTGGCATCAATAAACAGAGTGATGATGGGATAAGTTGTCGGGACCTGTTAATGCCTTTGTAGAATCAGAGTCCTCCAGGGCTTTCCGTGTGTATGAACCCCTCCTAAATGTGTAATTTACAGCCTCTTCCATGCTGGGAAGTGTGTGAGGGCAGTGCAGCCACACAGAGAGCACCGGCTGGTGACCATTATGGAAAGCAGCATTTTGGGGCTGCCAGGGCAGGATCCAGCCGAAGTTTCTGCGTTCCCTTTGCCAAAGTTGTGCCTGAGGCTCCCTGGGAGCAGTTTGGAGTTCCAGTTCATGGCATGTGGTCTGACATGGGTTAAATGTGTGCTGCCGTGGGGCTGGATGTCCCAGAAGGAGGTGCTGGTGCAGGACTGGAGAGCCTGGCTGCAGCTCTGGCCCCTCAGCAGCTGCCCGCATCCCCCTCATCAGGGTTAAATGCAATTAGAGGGAGCAGAGAAATTAAAAGCAGAACTGACTCTCAGCAGCTCATGTTCATCCCACTGACAGTGCCACAGACCCAGTGGTGTCCTTTTTTCTTCCTAAAAATGGATGGATTCAGCTCTTTCTGCCGAAGCAAGTGCTTGGGTGTTACAGCCAGCCTGGGCAGCCTTGGGGATGGACATGACAGGGCTACCAGTGCCTGTGCACTGCTCGGTGTCACTGGTCCCTCACACAGCAACTGCTCTCCGCCTGGTGCTGCTTCTTGCCTGTCACACACACATGGGACAGCATCGGGTGCTGGACATTGCCAGGATTTAACAACATCCAGGTGACCTTCAGCAGCTCAGATGTCAACAGCGCATCTGCAGGCACAGCTCCCACGCTGAGGGGGACAGCACACCCATTGCAAGCCCTTGGGGTGGCAGCAGCACTGAAAAAACAGAGGTGGCAGTGCTGCAGGGCACAAACCTGGGGGTGGCATGAGCCACAAGCAGCCTCACCACTACACAAGTCTTTGTAGAATCACAGAACAAAGGATTCGTTTGGGTTGGGACCTTAAAGCCCATCCAGTTCCAAACCCCTGCCACAGGCAGGGACACCTTCCACTAGACCAGGTTGCTCCAAGCCCCATCCAACCTGGCCTTGAACACTGCCAGGGATGGGGCAGCCACAGCTTCTCTGGGCAACCTGTGCCAGGGCCTCACCACCCTCACAGGGAAGAACTTCTTCCTCAGATCCCATCTCAATCTCCCCTCTGTCAGTTTAAAGCCATTCCCCCTTGTCCTGTCCCTACAGACCCTTGTCAAAAGCCCCTCTCCAGCTTTCTTGTTGGCCCCTTTAGGCACTGGAAGCTGCTCTAAGGTCTCCCCTGGGGCCTTCTCTTCTCCAGGCTGAACAAGCCCAGCTCTCTCAGCCTGTCTGCAGAGCAGAGGTGCTCCAGCCCTTGAAACATCTTCATGGGTTGATCAGTCAGAGCCATCTGCAGGTTACTGGCACCCTCCATGTAATTGCAGTTGGGTTAATTTGGGCAGTGCAGGATGCTGTACAGTCCTCTGCTAAACCACCACTCCACTATGGGGGTTAATGGCACCATTCTGTAGGAGGACCAGTTATTCGAGGGCTCATGTCCCCATAGGTTTGGCCTGGTCATGGTTGCCTAGCCCTTCCTGACACAGGGTTCTGGGGGAGCTGGATGCTGCTGCACTGAGAAGGCTGCAGCCCTGGAGACAGGGGACAAGCAGGATGCACCCAGCACGCCACAGCCCAAAGGCTGTCACCCTGGGATGCTGCAAGGATGGCTGGTGAACAGAGGGATGAAAGCACCATGTGGAGCTCACCACAGCTGCCAGAATGGAGTGTGGGACCTGCTGTAGTGGGGAAGCAGGCAGCTGGGTGACAAACAGGCTTTCATCAGAGCAGGAGACGTGGAGAGGGGGCTGCTTGACCGCTTCATTGCCCAGCTGCCATCAGCACATCAGGGATAAGTGGTGAAGGGCTCAAGGGGCTCTCAAGGGCCCTCTCCTCTTCCCTAAGCACCTGTTTCAGATGTTTCGGGGTGAGAGCAGAGCCATTAGGAGTGCTGGTGGTGGCCATAGGGTGCAGGGACAGAAGCTGGAGCGTGAATGCCCCCCCACCCCAGGGCAGCAGCTCAGTGAGCACACAGCGAGGCAGCCGGTGCAGGGATGTGGCTCATGGGCTGGATTACACTTGGCTCCCTCATGTCCCAGCTGCTGCGCTGCCACAATCCCTTCAACTGCATTAAATCCCCAACGCTGGCGGGCGGGAAGCAGCTCCTGCAAGCATGAGGCCTCCTCAGGAAGGACCCTGCTCGGCACCTCCAATCCATGCTTATAAATGACTACCTTTATTGACACAGCCAGCGCAGCCGTGCTAGCCAGCAGCACAGTGCCAAACGTGAGGGCTCGCAGCCCTGCATGCCCAGGAGGGCTCCAACTGCTCCCAGGAACTGCAGTGATGATTTATGCACACGCATATACACAGACACACGCGTATGCACATGCCCATGTATGCACAGACACAAACACATGCACACGTGCACTCACACACATGCATGTACACACACGTGCATGCAGAGCTACACACACAGAATCAACTAGGTTGGAAAAGACCTTTAAGACCATTGGACCCAAGCGTTACCCCAGGACTGCCAAGACCACCACTAAACCATGTCACTAGGGGCCTCATCTACACAGGTTGTGAGTGCTTCCAGGAATGGTGACTCCACCACGTCCCTGGGCAGCCTGTTCCAGTGACTGATCACCCTCTCTGGGAATAAGTATTTCCAGTATCCAGCCTGCACCTCCCTTGGAGCACCTTGAGGCCGTTTCCTCTTGTCCTATGGTGTGTTAGTTGGGAGAACAGACTGACCCCCATCTCACTACAACCTCCTTTCACGCAGTAGCAGAGAGCGGTGAGACTTCTACACCTGAGCCTTCTCCTCTCCTCAACAACCCCGGCTCCCTCAGCCGCTCTGCACAAGACTTGTGCTCCAGACCCTTCACCAGCTTTGCTACCTCCGGACCTGTTCCAGCACCTCAAAGTCTTTCTTGCGGTGAGGGGCCCAACACGTACACACATACATATGTATGCGCACAGACACACAGGTGCATGTACACAGAGCCATGCAGACACACACATGGACGTACACACACGTCCAGGCACCGATGCACACACACACGCGTGTGAACACACGGCACGTCCCCACCGCTCCCCGTACCCCTCCCGGGGCCCCCTCTCGGCACCGCCCGCGCCCCGCCCGGTCCCTTCCCCTTCTCTTCCCCTCCCCGCCTCCGGCGCGTCCTTCCCGGAGGCCGCAGGATGGCGCGGGCCGTGCTGGCGCTGGGCGAGAGCCTGGTGGAGGAGGCCACCTGCCCGCTGTGCCTGGGGCTCTTCCAGGAGCCCCTCATCACCGACTGCGGGCACAGCTATTGCGGGCCCTGCCTGGCGGCGCTCATGGGGGTCCCGCCGCGCCCCGTCGCCTGTCCGCAGTGCCGCGCCGCCGTGGCACCGGCCTCGCTGCGGCCCAACCGCTCGCTGCGCTCCATGGCGCAGCTGACGGAGGCTCTGGACAAGGCGCGACGGGCCCAGTGCCAGCGGCACGGAGAGCTGCTCGGCCTCTTCTGCGAGACCTGCCGCTGCCTGCTCTGCCCGCTGTGCCGAGGCGAGCCCCAGCACCGCGACCACCCCGCCCGCTTCGCTGAGGAGGCCGCCCGGCAGCTCCGGGTACGGGAGGGCGGGGGGGATGGAGGGTGTCTTGGGGTTACTGGCG